GAGGTAGAACTTTCGCCCAGCATGACTAAGCGATATCAGGCATTAACGGCTAGGGCGAATTATTTAGCGCAAGCAAGATCGGACATGCAGTATTCAGTAAAAGAACTTGCTAGGACCATGTCAAAGCCAACTACGGGTTCGTGGAAAGGTCTAGTCAAGCTAGGAGAGTATTTGAAGTATCGCAGCAGAAGCAGTTACGTGTATCAGTATCAAGAGCAGCCTCGAGAGTTGACGATTTGGACAGACACAGATTACGCAGGATGTAAACGAACTAGGAAGTCTACGAGTGGAGGAGTAGTGATGTGGGGTAAACACCTTATAAAATCTTGGAACACAACTCAAAGTGTAATTGCATTATCGTCAGGGGAGGCAGAGTATTACTGCCTTGTGAAAGGAGGATCAGTCGGACTGGGACTTCAGGCAGTGTTGAGGGATTTTAACTTGGAAGTTGAGCTCGCCTTGAAAAGTGATGCCACGGCTGCAATCGCGATTGCGAGTAGACGAGGATTAGGAAAAGTAAGGCACATTGAAGTATGTCAACTGTGGTTGCAGCAGAAGGTAAAGGAGGGAGTGATTCGAATAGTGAAAGTGGGTACTCATGAGAACGTAGCAGATGCATTAACCAAGTATGTCAGTCGTGAAAGTATGAGCACACATCTGCTAAACACAAACCAAAGCGCATTAGCAGGTCGGCGCAGCCTTGCGCCGGCCACCGAGTGTTGACATCCGCAGCTCATTTCTGTCAGGCAAGCTGTCTTGATTAAAGCTTCCTCCATCCTTTACCTCTTTCCCTCGAGCGTGAACGAAAGCATGGCGGACCAGCAAGTCAACGTCACGATCAACGGCGCGGCGGTCGACCAGAGCCCGCCTGGGGCAGGGCCGGTTACGCGCGAGAACCTCAATCGCCGCGTCGACGATATCGTCAACGTGGCTCGTGCGTTCACCGTGACCCTCACCAACATGGCCGTTAACTTCCACGGGGCCTATGATAAGCACGTTGACGAGATGCAGAGGGTCACCGATGATATGGCGCGGAGGATCGTTGACTTAACGCAGCAGAACACCGAGTTGGTTAACGCCAGCGACGATGTCAACGTGAACCTCAAGAGGGCGCAGGACGAGGTTAACAACCTTGTGGCGATGGTGTCAGAGTTGAACATCAAGAATCGCGACTCGGAGGTTAACGCGGCGGAGAATGCAACCAAGTACCGACGCATTAACGAAAATATCGGTTGCCTCTTGATTACCGCCAGGCGCCTTACCGAGAATATCACGCCCCTGCAGGACCTCGAAGGTAAACGTGATGCGGCGCTACGTATTCTAATGGGAGTTACCGAGAGGCTTGAGGGTTTGCAGAAGTTCTTGGATGACCCGATCAACTCCTCGGTTACCGATATTCCGCCGGCGCCGCCGCCGTTGCCTTGGTCGCCCCCGACGGCAGCGCCCGCCAAGGCGCCACCCGTTGCCGTCACCGCGGCAGCCGGGCCCATGGCCACGGGCGCGCCCCCAGCGCAGCAGGTCAACGTGGCTCCGCCAGGCAAGGCTCCCCCTACTCAGGACCTGGCCGGCGCAACCGCTAAAGCCGGGGGGAGTCGGCGGTCCGCGTCGCCGAACAAGATTCGAGCGCCACCGTTGAGCCCGCAGGGCGGTGAAGAGCCACAGCCTGCTTACAAGCGGGCGCCGAAAGCCATGCGTGAACGTCAACGGGAGCTGGGGGAGTTGAGGCAGATAGGCATAAAGATGGACGAGGATCGAACGGTTGGTGGTCAACGTGATGAGGCGCCAAAGGATCCTGCTCCCGTCGTAAGCGCGAGGCCGGCCAAGCCGCCCCCTCCGGGGTTCGGCGAGTCCGGAGCGGCGAGCAGCGTTACCGGCGCGAAGCCCCCGCCTCCAGAGGCCAAGAGGTTACCGTTCCAGCACATCCCGCCGCCGCAGCCTCAGGTCGTTAACCGCGCGATTGATCAGGTTGAGAGGCACTCCAGGATCGTCGCCAAGGACACCACTTACCGCCCGCTGTACCACGTCAACGGTCGCATGTCCATGCCGAACAACAGGAGCGACGACTACGACGTTAACTTTCGGGCGGAATCTGATCCCAGAGATGTGGTAGCCTTAACGATGAAGACACGTGATAACTGGCGCAAGTTTGAGGGTAACTTCGTCGGGCACGTGGCGAAGGTGGGGTTAACGACCCCTGGCGGCAGGGCCATTCAGGGCAACACCGGGCGGGAGCTTAACGATTACGAGGACGTGTTCGTTGACATCTTCGGCCAACACGCTTACGGTTTCATCGGCTATGCCGTGTTGCAAGGTCCGATCAGCTGGAGGTCTCAGTTAACGGACAAAGAGTTGGCCAAGCATGATGAATGGGTTGACGCGGTTGGGCACGTGCAGTCCTTATTTGACGATGACTACGTGCCACCGCTCCACCTTAAAGAGCTTCACCCATCGTGGTTTGAGCACCGCAGTTGCCCGGACACGCAAGTGTACGTCAACATGGTGCCGGAGATGAACGAGAAGCAGCTTAACGGCCTCCTCTTAACGTGGGCAGGAATGCTGCCCCACGGCGCCCCCACCGTCATCTCCGTTAAGCACCTGGTGGAGGACGCCCATGGGCGGCACGGTTACATCTCGATTGCAGTTACCGTGATTCGCTTTGCGACGCCCGATTTTGCCAGGCTTGACTGCCGTTGAATGAACGGGCTCCAGGTGCATTACCGTAACTACTACACCGACGACCTCGAGGTCAGGAGCACCGCGGAGTTAAAGGGCAGGATGAGCAAGCCTCCAGTTTACTGGCACCAGACCGTCTTGGAAGTTGCCCTTAACGATCAGGGATCCATGAGGGGACTTTACCGTGATAATTGGCCGGCCGATCATGTCACCGAGCGTAAAAGCGATCACCGTGAGAAGCTTTGCTGGTTTGGCTGGTTACCGTGCGACGACTTCCCCAACTGGCTTACCGATCCGGCCTGGACTGTGAACCCGTTTACCGGCGCTGCGGTCGAAGAGCGCCTCCGTAACAATCCAGGCGATGGGCCTCTGTTAAAGGCTCCCCACGCCAGTTACTGGAGAGCCATCGGCACTTACCACAACATCGTTGGCGGCTCAATCAAGAGCCACGATGAGGGATGCTGGCTTGACGACGAGGAGCGCATTAACGCGTGCATTGGCGACGATTACTACAACCAGATGCAGGCCCTTAACAGGGTGTCGTCCTACACCGAAGCCGGCGTGGGCCATCGCGGGTTACCGAGGTCGAGGGGTTCACGGGCCCCGTCGGCGAGGCGCCCGCGCCGTCCGTGAAAGATGGCAGGCAGTCAACATGCTTCAGTTCACGCTCTTCCTCATCTCCCCTCTTAACTTGGCTTAACGATCGAATGGCAGCAGCCTGTTGAGCTGAGTTTGTTTGCATGCGCATCTCTTGTTGTTGCCGCAGGTATTGGCGAATAAAAAGCGAAAGCGGCCAAAATCATCCAAGTGCTAGCTTGCTGTGTAAACTTTAGATGCTTCGTTTGAACTTGTGACAGTAAAAGTGTTTACTCGAGCTCAGGTTACATGTGTGAGAAACTTGGTGCTCGTAAGCGCCGTCGCGAGACATTTCGAATTCAGCAGTGCGATGAAGAGACTTGAGGCTTAACGTCATTTGCGTGCGACGTTTTGTCTAGCTTGACCTGTTTTCGTGATTGTTGACGCCTCCCCGTCAGCCTATACGGACTAGCGTCCGAGGGGGGGTGTTAACATGTGAGCATTCAGGTGACTGGGGAGTGAAGGTGTCCCCGTTACCGTTTGGCTCAAGTATTTAACGGCTGAAGCTACCGAGACTTGCTTCGCCGTGCAGAGGTAAAAAGGTGACCGATCGTCATCGCTGTCACCGAGCTCCCGTGCAGAACCCTCCTCGGGGTTTTGCAGGAGGAGGAGGAGGAGGCGGGCCAATCACGTCCAAACCCGCACAACAACGTGCAGGGACGACGACGACGCCGGCCGCGGCTTCAGCGGCGGCGCCGGCCGGAGCCCGCACGCGGGACGAGCGCTGGCGGGAACCCCAGGCCCTGGGCAGCCGCCGGCGACGAAAGCGATCCCGCGAGGCCCAAGAAGGCCCACGATAATTTGGTACAGCCCTCGGCCCTCGATCCTGGATCCCTCGTTCTTCCTCTTCGGCCGTGGACGACTGCGACGACGTTGGCGGCGACGGCGACGACCACGGCCGCAACCACGACAGCCACGGCGACGGCGACAGTGACGGCAAGGGGCGGTTTCCAGGAGTCTGACGACGACCATCACCATGAGGGTCGCGACGTTCGACGATGGCCGACGGCCTCCACAGATCTCCAAAGTCCGGAGGCCTCCGGAGGCCCCAGCAAAACACAACGTGGCCCAGAACGTGCAAGCGTCCGTCACGTCCACAGACGACGACCACCTCCACCACCACGACCATGACGACGGCCACGGCGACGATCATCCCGACGGCGGCGGCTGCGGCGGCCTGGCGGCCCAGAGTTTTGTTGGGCCCTCCTCGGCCACCGTGGCAGTCTCGCCATTTGCGCGGTCTCGGAACATATTCGGAGCTTTCAGGCGCGTCGCACGTCGATCTCGCACGGCTCCGCGGCCGCTCACCGAGCCCGCAGGCATCCCCTGGCATCTCCAGCATCTCCACGCGCCCAGAGCGGCCCCTGCCTGGGGGGCTGTTTTCCTTTGGTGCCTTGGGTCTCGTGCGCTGGCGCAAGGTCCACGGACAACGACCTGCGCAGTCGGCTAGAACCTAAGCGCGCGCCTGGTTTAGTGCATAGGTACATTTACGTGTACACATACATATATATACACATATATATATATATGTATATCTGTATACACACATATATGTATATATATATATATATATATATATATATATATATATGTCCCTGTGCCTATATAGGTAAATAGCTCTTATGCTTTCAATCTTTTCGCCCCCTGGAACGAGGGGGCCCGCCGCGCGGGGGAGGCCGGGGACTGCCGAGGCCCGACCTGCCGCTGCAGCTTCCGCGTGGACTTCGACGAGGACCCGCGCCCGCCCCTTGCGCGCGGCGGCCGCCGCCGCTGCGCGCCTCGTGGGCCGCCCGCGCGCGGCGCCCCGGCGCCTCCCGGGGTCCTCCCCTCGAAGAGGAACTTTCCAGCAAGGCACCCTATCGGGGGCGGCAAAGGGGGGGGGTGCTGACTAGGGGGGGTGGATACAGGCCTCGGAACAAATTAGCGAACAGTCATGCCATATTCATCTGTCAACTGCTCCCCCTCCCCCCAATTTCCAAAGTTGGCGGTGGGTCTGATGGGATGCACTTCGACCGCAGTCTCCCCCGCGCGTGCCAACAGTGAGGTTGGGGGGGAGGGGGAGTGTTCAGTAATTGTTTTCCTCTACCGTATCATGGCGTGGGCCATGATATTTCCTCAGATCTTATGGCGCCTCTTCTTATTACATTACGTCCCTGGCCCCCCCGCTGGGCCGCGCACGTGCCGCCGGTCATGATTTGCATCTCCCCCTCTTGGACACCCCCCTCTTGGCCGCTCCCGACCCTAATATCCACTAGACGTAAGGGTGACCTTTCGCCGGAGTGACCTTTGGTGCGGGCACGGATGGGACCCCAGATGGCCGAAAACGAAGCAGGAGCAGCGGCTTGTGCGCCCAGGTCTGGTCCCCCTTGCGTGTAGCCGATAATAGAAGTAGGGTGCAGAGGCGTGTCGAGGAGCAGAAGGTAGGCTAGTGAGAGCACGGCCATGCGCACTTTGTTCTATTGTAGATAAGGGATCGGGGCCTGGGCGGTCTGGGGCTCCCAGTCTTCTTTGTGGGACTTTCCAATGTTTTTTTTGTTCCTTTATCAAAACCTTTTGAGCGAAACTCTATGGGGGAAACCAAGCGTCACCTTTCGGAGCTCTGCGCGGATTTCTTGCGTCGGCGCTGGGCCCCGTTGGCGGCGCCTCTGGCGGCGCCCCTGACGAGCTCCCCGCGCCAGGGACCGGGGTCCAGCGCCGACCCAAGACAGACATTCCCGCGGACCTCCAGAAGTGGATGTTAATGCCGCTTTGTAAGTTCTCAGGGGTCGGTGTATCGGCCCTGCCTGCCCAAGCCAGGGGGGCGTACACGCCGGTCCCGTGCCCAGGATCCCCCGGGCCCAGCGCAGACCCACCAGATCCGCGCGGACCTCCAGATGTTCTCTGCCCGTGCAGATGTTTTCAAGGAGGGGAAAAACACACACAGACACAATATGAATCGTCGATCCCCAGAAAACATGGGAACATGTGGGGGGAAGACGAAACCCAGGAAATGTGAAAAAATACTGGGAATCCTGTTACTTGTGTCCATTTATTAAGCGCTTCGCTCATTCCGCCGGCCCTGGAGCGCTATCTGGGGCCTCTTGGGGCCGTCTTGAGGGCCTCTTGGGGGCTTCTTGGGAGCGTCTTGGGGCTCCTTGGCGGCGTCTTGGGCCCCCCTGGGGCCTCTTGGGGGGCTCTTGGGGGCCCCTTGGGGCGGGAGGGGGGCTAGTTGATTGCAGCCCCCCCCCCCTCGGAGGCCACGATCCTCGTGAGGGGTGGCGAAAAATAGCCTCCCCCCTGGGGATCACCCGGGACCCAGCCGGGGATCGGCCGGGGTACTTTTCGTCCAGGGCCCCCCAGGGGCCGCCCCGCGCGCGCGAATTAGAAATATTATTGAGTAGTTACCGGAGATCTTAGCACGCCTCCCAGAGGTCCTCAGGATCCATTTTCTGGATCCGGAGGTAAAGTGGATCCAAGAGCTCTGGCCCGTTGGGCCGGCGAATTTGTGTGTCCTGCCAGTTTTGTCGTCTCTCCCGCCCTCCCGGGAGCCTTCCGCCGGCCGCCCGGAGGCGCCCCGCGGTGCGGCCTGGCTCCGCCCGCGGCCCCCGCGTGCGGAGGGGCGCCCGGGGAGCCTCCGCTGCGGCGGGGGCTTTCTGCTGCGGGACAGGCCTCGCGTGAAGTCGGGCACTGTTCCTCTGCAGGGAGCAATATTCAGAAATGGTGAGCCAATAGTCTGGGGACGATGCTTCGATGTGTCTTGGCTGTTTCTGTTGGTTTTGGGAACTAGTTTTTAAGTATACTCGACATCCGCCTGCAGGGGGACGTGCCCGACCTGAGCCTCGCGGCAGGCAGTGCCAATAGGGGGTCAAAATCATGCGGGGTCACCAACCCCTCTTGGAAAACGTGGCTCGAGGAGGAGGAGGAGGAGGAGGAGGAGGAGGAGGAGGAGGAGGAGGAGAATGAGGATGAGGAAGGGTACGGTGGTTTCGTGTCTTGCCGACGCGGCAGCGACCCCTCTGCGGGCGTTCCAGGTTAAACGCCGCCCGTGGCCCATCTTTCGATCGTTCAGCAGCCGATCGTTCAATGTTGACCGATCCAGGCGGTGTCAGAAACTGGCGCCGGGATCGTCACGACGCAAAGCCGCCGTAGAGAGTCAGTGGTCAGGGGGGGGGAAACACACGGACAGAACTTGTCGCCGTTTCCCAGGAACAGACGGGAAAATATGGGAGGTGGGGGGGGGGGAGACGAAAACCCAGAACATTTAGGAAAAGATGTGGAATCGTGGGAGTTGTATCTGTTGATCTGTGTGTCTCTGGGCCACTTCACATGAGTTGCTTGGGCGTCCCTGTGCGTCTTTGGGCGTCCTTACGGGGGGGTCCTCTGGAAGGTCCCGAGGGTCCCTTGCCCGGAGGAGGCGGCGGGACCCCTCCGTGGCGACGTCCATGCGGCACTGCCCGCCGGCCGCGGCTGGGGAGCTCTATGCTCCCGACCGCCCCGCGGGGTGGCCCCGTCGGCTTCGACGCCCCCCCTGGGGAGAGCGCCGACAGTGACCTCTCCTCCATCAAGGGGCGCGTCGGCCACGCGCAGAGGGGGGGGGTTGGGGGGAGGGGGGAGGGCTTCTTTGAAGCACCCCCCTGCTTCTGGGGAGGCGCGGGCCTCGTCTGCAGGTGGTGGGCCCGCGCCTTCTCGGAAGCGGCCTCCTTCTCAGGAAAGCCTTCCCCCTCCCCCTGCCCCTGTGTGCGCGCCGCCAAGCACGGTCGGGAGCATCGTGGTGTAGTTGCTGCTGCCTGTGAGGGTGGGCATGCGGTCAAGACGCTGAAATGAGGAACAGTTTGGGTTCGGAAGGGGCTCGATGTTCCTCAGGTCTTTCCATGGCTGTTCCTCCAGCCCTCCTCGTGAACGAAGGCGGTTTTCGGGCCTGCACGGGGCTTCGTTTCGTTGCGGCTTCTCGGTGCGTCCTCGTCGCCACGGCTGGATTCCCCCAACGTTCCTCATGGTGGCAGCCATGCTCGAGCGCCGTCCGCCGCGGGTGCATCCTCTCGTTGCGTGATATCCAGCCCCAGACCAAACGTCCCCGGCGGCTTTGGAGGTCGCCGCGGCGATCGCGGCGATCGCGGCGGCCACACATCAGGGCAGGGTTTCTGTCAAGAAGTGGCATATGCTCCTCCACGCCCCCCTCCGCTCTGCAATGTACACTCGGGTCATAGGTGACAATCCTGCGACCGAGAGCTGGCAACAGATGTCCAACCTGGGCAGTCAGGGTCCCGCTAGGGATCGACTCTCACGCACCTTTCCCGCAGTTAATTCCAGTTCTTCGCAGTCTCTCTGGCGGGCCCCTGTGGCCGCGTGGCGCGGGCGGCCCGGCGCCCTCTGGACGTGGAGTGCGCACGGTGGGCCCTTGGCGCTGGGGGCGACGACAGCGACGACGACGAAGACGACGGCGACGGCGTCGAAGACGGCGGCGCCGACGCCCACGCCGACGCCGACGCCGCCGCCGCCGACGGCGGCGGCGGCGGCGGCGACGACGACGACGACGACGACGACGACGACGGCGGTGGCGACGGCGGCGGCGGCGGCGGCGGCGGCGACGACGACGACGACGACGACGACGACGACGACGACGGCGGCGGGTCGCGCGTGCCTCCGCCCCCGCCCAGGACCGCGGGCTGGTGCTGCACCCGGCCACGGAGGGCACCTCCAAGCACGAGTGGCGCGCGCAGCTCTACAACAAGGCCGCGCCGCAAGGGGGGTGGCCGCCCCGCGGGGGGCGCCCGTGGGGTGGGCGGCTGCGCCTGCGCACGGGCGGCCGAGGAGGAGGAGGAGGAGGGGGAGGAGGAGGAGGAGGAGGAGGGGGAGGAGGAGGAGGAGGAGGAGGAGGAGGAGGAGGAGGAGGAGGATGAGGAGGAGGAGGAGGAGGGTGTGCCGCCCTTGGGTGGCGCGGGGGGTGGGCGGCTGCGCCTGCGCGAGGACTGCCTCGGAGGAGGAAGCGGCACTCCAGATTTCGTAAGAAAAGGGAGGGGGTCACAATCTTCCCGGACCACAAAGTTTTAGACCCCCCCAGACCATCCATGAAAGGGCGGCACTTTGCCCAGACCCTGAAGAAGGAACCCTTTTCGTTGGGGAGGGGCTCGGTGTTCCTTGATTGCTTCACAGTTTGCCTCAGGTTCTCCTTATGTCATCGATAGGAGATCGGCGGTCAACTTATGGAAAAAAGGGGCCTCGTTCCTTATTTAGGGTTCCTTAGGTCAACGCCCCGACTGTACCCTCGCCTCGTTTTCGCCTCTTAGGGCCTCGCGGCAGGCCCTCGTCGCCAGCGCCGGATGCGCCTCGAAATTCTGGTCAGAGCGCGCCCATGGGAGGTCCGGAGAGTAGCTCGGGCGTCGCGTAGTGGGGGGGCGGCGATGAGTGGGGGGGCAGCGAGGGCGGCAGAAAGGGGGCCCTCTGGGGCCTCTGACGGGGCCCTCTCGGGCCCAAAGGGGGGGCCCTCGGGGCCCGAAGAGTGCACCCATCTTCCCCCCCGCCCTCCTTCCCTTTGGTCGCCCCCCCCTTGAGGCGACGCCCAAGAGGGGCGGCGGTGTCGGTACCTATTGGTTTTCCCACCGGCGCCTTCTGCTCTCAGGACGCGAGGGCGGGCGCCGTCGCGTTCGGACATATCCAGCGGCGGGCCGCGCCGGGGCGAGGGGCGCACGAAGGCGCCTCTTATAGGGGAAGCAGAGGGTGGCCGCGGGGGCCAACGCCGCAGAGCGGATCTCGTTCGGCAAGCCATGGGATGGGCCCGGGTGGTCCTGGAGGGTGTCGCTCCGGATTTCGACGCGGATTCCGTGCGGGTTTTTCTTTCGTCCAGGAAGGAGGACCACAACAAGAGCATCCGCGTGACATTCCATTGGTTTTTGGGTCATTTGGGCATTGTTGGAGAGATCGGGGCCTCCCGGAGGCCCCATGGGGATCCTGGCATCCTGTTGGAGTGCATGTGGTTTCCCTCCGAATTCCGACGGCGCGGCGACGGCGCCGGTCTTGGGGTCGTCTTGGGGACCTCCTGGGCCTGACGTGGGGACCTCTTGGGCCGTCTTGGGCGGATCTAGGGAGCTTCTTTGGTCCGTCTTGCACGCTCTGACGGCCGAGACGGCGAGAGAGTGCGAACATCGCACGACAGCCCCGAAGGCTCCACACGCCTTTGGCCTCCTGGGCCGGCCGCCATGGCCTCTGGTCGGAGGGCCCCGAGGCGGGGACCTGTCCATGACCGCTGCCTGGGGCATCGAGCTGGGGTCGGCCTCGGCGGGCGGTGGCGAGGGGTATATCTGCCCCCCCCCTCTTCTCGGGCCGAACGAAACGGGGCTATGGGGAAAGGGGGGGGTACGAAATCTGCTGCATGCAGCTGGTCTCGGCCCCGCCGCCATGCCCATTCCTCGATATACATGGGCGCCTCCTGGCGCCGGGATGCGCCGGGAAAATCAGCCATATACGTGAGCTGATTCTCTGGCGCCGGGATGCGCCGGGAAAATCGGCCATATACGTGAGCTGATTCTCAGACCCCCCCTTATTTGCTATCCCCCCCTTGCGCCCGGCCCGATCTTCCCCAGCGCCCAGGTGTGCCCACGCCCACCGCCCGCCCTGGCCCCCTACAGTCGGGGGAGCGTAAGACCCGGGTTTGCCAGGACTCGGGTTCGCCATCGTTTTTTGACGACCGCGACTCGGATTTTGACGAGGAGGAATTTCGTGGGATGTCTGCAGCGGGAGGCCTCGTCAAAATGCAGGCTCGGCCTCGTCATTTTTTTGACGACCTCGTCGGGGATTTCCGAGTCCCCCGTACCCGGGTCTTACGTCTCCCCGATACAGGTGTGCCCACGCCCACCGCCCGCCCTGGCCCCCGGAGCCCGAGCTGCCCCGGGCGCTGGTCCCGGACAATCGCCTCCCTCCGCCCCGCACGGAGCCGGGGCCGGGCCGGCCCGCCCCGGCCGTCGGGGCCTCGGCCTCGGCGGGGTCGGGCGCCACGCGGGGGTCAGGAGGGAAAGGCACACACACAGACACAAGGAATCGTCGACTCCCCGGAAAGCATGGGGAAATATATGGGACGTGGGGGGGGGGAAGGCAAGGGCCCAGAACACATGGGAAAACATGCGGAAGCCTTTTATCTGTGTGCATTTCTCTTTGTGTGCCCTGGGGCCCCTTCCGAGGGGGCCTCCTCCCGACGTGCTCACGCCGCGCCGGGGCGTGGCTCGCCGCTCGCGCGTTCGCCGGCACGGGGCCGGCGGGTCTCTGGGTGCCGGGACCCCGCCTCGTCCTCCTCGTCCTCCTCGTCCTCCTCCTCCTCCTCCTCCTCCGCCGCGCCGAGCAGGCGCGCCCCGCGCAGATCGGCCTGCTGAAGAGCTATGGGGCCGCCCCGGCGGCCAAGGCACCGGGCTCGGGCGCGGGGGTCAGGGGGCAGTGATGAGAGATGCAGTTCGGGGGCGGCAAAGGGGGGGGGTAAGGACTAGGGGGGGGGATAGCATGGCGGGGGCCATGGTATTTCCACAGGTTTCATGGCGCCTCTTCTCATTCCATTACGTCCCTGGCCCCCCCGCTTTGCCGCGAACATGCCGCCGGTCATGATTTGCACCCCCCCTCTTGGACACCCCCGTCTTGGCCGCTCCCGAAAGAGATACAGTCGGGTCGCTGAAGAAGGAACAATTTTCGTTGGGGAGGGGCTCCGTGTTCCCTAAGTATTTCTCACAGCTTGCCTCAGGTTTTCCTTCTGTCTTCGATGGGGGATCGAAGTTTTTAGCTTGTGGAAAACAGGGGCCTCGTTCCCTATTTAGGGTTCCTTAGGTCAACGCCCCGACTGTAGGCTCAGGGGCAGCGATAAGATATAGGCTCAGGGGTGGGGGGGATGCGTCGACCCTGAATCTCACCGAGCGCTTTCCACTACGCGCAAGTGCCTGCTCGCAAACGTCCGAAAGATACCTGTCTGCTTTGATGTAATTTATCGTAGATCCCCCGCGGCGGATCCAGGCCATTTAGAGATACAGTCGGGTCGCTGAAGAAGGAACCCTTTTCGTTGGGGAGGGGCTCCGTGTTCCTCGAGTGTTTTTCGCAGCTTGCCTCGGGTGTTCCTGACGTCTTCGATGGGACATCGAGGTCTAAAACTTGTGGGAAACAGGGGCCTCGCTCCCTATCTAGGGTTCCTCAGGTCAACGCCCCGACTGTAGGCTCAGGGTCATGGGGGATGCGTCGACCCTGACTCTTACCAGCCTGGAACATACCCCTATCCCTATGCTGGGCACCTCCTCATCACGATGCCAATCTTAGGGATTCCCTTATTTTTTGAGGGCGAATCCCTAAGGTTGTCATCGCCTTTTGGCATGTCAATCTTAGGGATAGAGATGCGTTCGAGGCTGGTAAGACTCGCCCAGTCATCGCCAGCAGGGTCCCAGCGGCCCGCCCCGCCCAGGAGCGTGCGCACTCGCCATCGGGGACCCCGCGCCGATTTCTCGGCGATGCCTCGCCGACTCCAGGCCGATGTCTCCCCCTCCCTGAGCTGGTCCCCCCTGACGTGGCCCCTCGGGGAGAGAGAGAGAGAGAGAGAGAGAGAGAGAGAGCGAGAGCCTCGCAGGGGTGACGGCTTCCGGATTCTCAGAGCGTGAATTAACTACTCCGCTTTCGCTTCCAGGCAAGACCAAGCCATACCACGCGCCTCCCCGTCGGGCGGCCTGACCAGTACGGGTCGTAGTTTAGCATCGCTTGCCCCCCCAGATTCTCATTCCACAGGATCGGTTTCAGGTGTCGTGGCTGCGGCTGGCCCAGCAGATCTGAGCTGCTTCGCGTTGAAGCATGGCCAGGAGGGCGGAGCCATGACTTTGTCACGGCGTCGGAGCCTCGGGATCTGGAGATCGTGAGAGAAGACGCCTGCACGCAGGCACGCGGGCTCCTCGGGCCTTCTCCTGCGCCCATGGATTACATCACTGCTGCTGTTGCTGCTCCAACATCCACCCATCCTATTCTCTGCCTCCATCCCCTCCTTCTTCTTCTTCTTCTTCTCTGTCCCGCCGTCCCCTTCCCCTTACACGCGCGGCAGCATGACGATGAGGATGACGACGACGACGACGACCACGATGACGACGGTGATGAAGATGATGATGCTGATGCTGATGATGATAATGCTGCTGCTGATGATGATGACGATGCTGATGCCGATGCTGACGATTATGATGATGATGATGGTGATGATGAGGATGATGATGAGGATGATGATGGTGATTGTGATGATGATGCTACTGTTGCTGATGATGACGATGATGATGATGACGCTGATGCTGCTGCTGATGATGATGCTGCTGCCGATGATGATGATGATGATGATGATGATGATGATGCTGATGCTGACGATACTGTTGTTGTTCTTGACGATGGTGACGGTGATGAAGCGTCTGATACTGATGATGATGCCGATGCTGATGCTGATGATGATGCCGCTGACGATTATGATGATGCTGATGGCGATGATGATGCTACCGATGAGGATACTGGTGTTGAAGATGATGATGCTGATGATGATTAGGATACTGATAATCATGATCCTGCTGATGATTATGCTGATGCTGATGATGATGCTGCTGATGATGACGATGCTGACTGTGGTGATGCTGCCGATGATGCTGCTGCTGATGGCGATGATGTTGCTGATGATGATGCTGATGATGCTGAGGGTACGGATGCTGATGATGCTGATGATGCTGATGATGCTGATGGTTATGATGATGGTAATGGTGGCGGTGGTGATGATGCATAGTATGATGATGATGGTGATGCTGATGGTGATGATAATGATGATGACGACGACGACGATGCTGATGGTGCTGATGATGATGAGGACCATTGTGGTGATGCTAATGATAATGATGATGCTGCTGATGCTGATGCTGATAATGCTGATCATGATGATGATGAGGGTGAGGATTCTGATGAAGATACTGCTGATGATAATGATGATGATGATGCTGATGCTGATGAAGCTGATGGTGATGATGCTGCTGCTGATGATGATCCTGCCTATGCTGGTGATGCTGCTGCTGATGCTGGTGCTGCTGATGCTGCCGGTGCTGATGATGATGCTGATGTTGATGATGCTAATGATAATGCTGATGATGGTGTTGCTGCTGCTGATGATGATGCTGCTGATGAGGACGATGATGCTGCTGCTGATGATGCTGCTGAGGATGATGCCGATGACGATGATGCTGATGCTGCGGATGCTGCTGCGGATGATGATTATACCGATGAGTATGTTACGAACGATGCGGATGATGCTGGTTGGTGATTGTGATATTGGCGGTGGTGATGATGCATATTATGACGATGCTGGGGATGCTGATGGTGATGCTGGTGAGGATGACGATGACGACGATGCTGATGATGCTGATGATGATGGGGATGATGGTGGTGATGTTGCTGATGATGCTGCTGATGATGATGCTGATGCTGCTGATGATGCTGCGGATGATAATGCTGATCATGATTATGATGAGGGTGAGGATGCGGATGACGATGCTGCTGATGATAACGATGATGATGATGTTGTTGATGATGAAGCTCATGATGGTGATGATGCTGCTGCTGATGATGATCAAGCCGACGCTGGTGATGCTGCTGCTGATGCTGGTGCTGATGGTGATGTTGATGCTGATGATGCAAATGATGATGAGGCTGCTGCTGCTGATGATGATGCTGCTGATGAGGACAATTATGACGCCGCTTATTATGGTGCTGATACTGCTGCTGATGATGATGCTGATGCGGATGCTGCTGCGGAGTATGATGATACCGATGAGTATGTTGCTAACGCCTGTGATGATGATGATGACGTTGCTGGTGCTGTTGCTGTTGCAGTTGTTGTTGTTTTTGTTGTTGTTGTTGTTGTTGTGGTTGTTGTTGTTGTTGTTGAAGTCGCTGTTTTTTTATTGTTGCTGGTGTAAGTAATGTAGCTGTTGCTGATGCTGATGCTGCTGGTGATGCTGCTGCTGATGACGATGAAACTGCTGTTGCTGATGCTGATGTTGAGGATTAGTATGCTGCTGATGATGATTATGACGATGATGATGCTGATGAGGATGCTGATGCTGATGATTATGACGAGGAGGAGGAGGAAGATGAGGAGGAGGAGGAGGAGGAGGAGGAGGAGGAGAGAGGCGATATGAGGAGGAGGAGGAGGATGAGGAGGAGGAGGAGGAGGAGATGGAGGAGGAGAAGGACGATTAATAAAAGTATGGGTGCTTGCAGCAGAAGAATATGAAGACGAAGAGGAAGGAAAGGGAACTCATAAGAAGACCAACAACAATCATAATACGAGTGATAGTAATAGTACGAATCATAATTCTAAGAACGGTAGTATGACGACGAGGAATATGACGAAACAGCATCACATGACTAGTAAGGAGACGAAGAGGAGGATACGGACAAGGAGGAGGAGGCGGAGGAGAAGGAGACGGAGGAGGTGCAGGTTGGTGATGAGGAGGAGGGAGGGGGAGGAGAACGAGCAGCAGGAGGAGCAGGAGGAGGAGGAGCAGGAGGAGGATGAAGTGGATGAGGAGGAGGATGAGGATCAGGAAAAAGGGAGGAGGAGGAGGCGGAGGGGGAGGAGGTGGAGGAGGAGGAGGAGGAGAAGGAGGAGGAGGAGGACATGCGACGCAGGACTCTGATTTCCCGCCTGCGCCCAGGAGGTTCAGCCGCAGTGCGTCTGCGGGGCCCCCCTGGAGCGAATCGCGGACCGCGACCGCATCGTCCGCATGCTGGAGGACACGGACGCCGAGTGGAGGCGTGGCGGGCCCGAAGTTTCGATGACTTCGGGAGGAGGAGGAGGCGGAGGAGGACGACGAACGTTACGATCATAGCCATCAAGGGCCGCCGAATGTCAAAAAGGAGGAGGGAGTAGAACAATGAGGGAGGATGACGAGGAGGCGGAGGAGGAGGACGAGGACGAAGGATGAGGAATGAGTAGGAGGAAGGAGAAGGAGGAAGGAGGAGTAGGCGGAGGAGGATGATGAAGAAGGAGGAGGAAGAGAAGGAGGAGGAGAGTGGAGGCGGGAGGAGGCAGGAGGAGGAGGAGGAGGAGGAGGAGGAGGAGGAGGAGGAGGAGGAGGAGGAGGAGGAGGAGGAACACAGAGGAAGGACGAATGAGTATCTCAGGAGGAGGAGGATGAGGAGGAGGAGAAGGAGGAGGATTCGGAGGAGGATTCGGAGGAGGATTCGGAGGAGGAGGAGGAGGAGGAGGAGGAGGAGGAGGAGGAGGGAGGAGGGAGGAGGGAGGAGGCGGACGAGGGCGAGGATGACGAGGAGGAGGAGGCGGAAGGAGGGTGGGCAGACCAGGGCGCGGCCAGGACCAGGGCCACGACTCCGAGAGCGGAGGCGGGGCCTTCACCGCTCGGGAGGCCCCCGCCGCCTCCGCGGCTCCCCTGGCCAGGGGAGCCGCGGCTGTGGCGGGCTGTTTTTCAACCCCGGGACTTTTTGAGGGTCGGGGACGACGCTGGGGTGGTGTGGTGTATACAGTGCCGGTTTTAATTCATGCTCCGCGTGCGGATCATGTATTAACAATGCAGGGATTTAGTATTAAAAACAACGATGAGTTCATGCATGCATATATTCATACATTAGTCCTGTATTTGATTCCTATATTCTGAAACATCCTATGTATTAACAATTGCCCTGTATTTGTTTCCCCGATGTCCCGGGGAAGCAACGAAAAATGTATACACCAGGGTCCCGTATACACCAGGATCCGCTCTCCAGCGCAAATTTCAATGCAGGGCCGGAACATGCGTCGGTGTATAGAGTTCGATTCCTTACCCGGGGCTCTGCCGGACACGTGCTCCGGCCAGGACTTCGAGACGAATCGGGGCGTGGCCACGGGGGCCCGGCTGCAGGGCTGATTCCGACTCCTCCGAGTCGATTCGACTCGATTTCGATGGCTTCCCCGAGTCCGATGCGATTCGACCTCGGATTCTGATGTGGGCTCCGATGTCTTATTGCCAGCCCGCCGATTTCTGTCGACTCGGTTTTGCCCGACTCGGCTGCCGATATCCGACGATCCGATTCATGTCGATTGTTGATCTGGCTTGTCGATTCGATTCTGGGCTCTGCTGCGGCTGAAAAAAAACACAATCGTCCACGTCCAGCAGCGACTCGGGCAGGAACGCTTGCTCAGCGTACCAGGCCGCTCCCAGCTGGGGTCCGAGCACACGGGGTCACCTGACCGCGCCGCAGCGCCGATGCATCGCCGACGCGGCTCGATGTGGAGTCCGGTCTTCTCTGCGCTGGCGTCGCCGATGCGTCGCCGACGTGTCGCATGCGGCGCGATCCTCCGGCCCTCTCTGCTCGGGCCCCCGTCTGGGCATCGCCCCCGAGCGTGCCGCGCCGCCGCTTCTGGCCCGCCACGCGTCGGCGCGGCGCACCGACCACGTCCAGTGCCCAAAGCAGCGGCGCCCCGAGCCTTTCTCCCAGCCTCCCTGGCACCGCTCGGGCGTGTGCAGTTTTCCTTCGGCGGGGGCCCTCGAGGAGCATCCTTGATCATTCGGCGAGAGAGCCACGCACGAGACCGGAAGAAGCGCAGGGCATGGACGTCCGAGCGATGGCCAGCCGCTCGCCCCGCGGAGCGGACCACGGCGTCCGCCATGGGGCATAGGCCCGGAGTGTCGCCCCGGGGGCCGCCGCCTCGACGCGCCGAGCAAGCTCGGAGGTCCCCAGAGGGGCCCGCAGAGAGGCCTCTCGAGAGGCTTCCGGGGGCGCGGATTGCTCTGGGGGAACGAATTCTCACGGATTTGTCGCCGCGCGATGCTTGCCAGCATTTGCGGCTCGCCGAGGGCGTTCCGGGGACCCGAAGACCGATCGGAGAACGGGAGCGATCCAGGACCCCTTTCCAGGGGGCCACAGGCGAACCCTACCACTTCCCCCCGCGATTTCTGAAGGGGAAGGGTGGGTTTCACTTCGCTCGGGAGCTCCCGAGCGAAGTGGACCCCACCCTCCCCGCCAGAAGTCGTGGGGGAAATGGGTAGGGTTCGCATGTGGCCCCCTAGCGAAGCGCGACCTTCTACTTAGGTCGGGCAGGTCTCTCTGCAGGAGGAAGGTTCAAGAACAGGAGCAACACAGTCTGGTCACGATCTTCGTGCTCTTTTGACTAGATTTGCTTCCTTTTCAGTTTTTTCCCCAAATCCGCCTGTAGGAGGACATGGCCGACCTAACCTCATACCCCTAGTGGGGGGCATGGTGGGCTGGTGCGGCCCCGGGGAGCGGGTGCTGTCGCGAATCGTACGAACGATTTCATGGAGGGCCCAGGCTTCATGGGCCTGTCCACCACCACCACCACCACCACCACCGTAAGTTGAGGGGGGGGAGGAGGATGGGGAGGAGGACGAAGAGGAGGAGGAGGAGGAGGAGGAGGAGGAGCCCCTTCCACTCTACTTCTGGTGGTGGTCGTGGAAAACAAGCCCACCACAAGAAGGCAGAGAGCACACTGACAGCCTCGTCGTCGCCCTTCTCTCCGTCGCCTCGTCGTCGCCTCGCCGGTGGCAGCGCCGCCGGCCGCGCCAAAGAGGTCCAAGATCTCCGGGGACTCCGAGGAGCTGGTCCGCCGGCTGCTGTCGAGGACCCTCGTCACCTGCGATCTGTGCGAGGACTGGGCCGGGATCTTCAGAGTGCGTCTCGAAAAAATAATCGGGGCGGAGGGTTTTCGTCGTGTTCGGCCTCCCTGGGGCCTCGCTGGGCCTCGGGGCCGTCAACAAAACGACTCGGGATGAGAAACCGGTCCTGGGGAAGCGGTCGAGAGGGCTGGGGCCGCGTCTCGAAAACATCGAGACGTCGGTCGGTAGTCGGTCGCCCTGGCAGTCAGCCCCTGCAGCTGTTGCACGTTTGCACCGCCGGGCGGCGTTGCAGCCCCGCCTCCACTCCAAGGGACCTCCTGGTCCCGTTCTGAGTACCGGTGCTCGGTTTGCTTCTGCCTGTCTACTTGGTACCTCGCGCGGCCCGCCTGGACTGTGACACGCCGCGGTTGCGCTTCCGCCCGCGGCCGTTGACGAGAAGTCTGTGGGGGCTGCTGGGGTCCGCGGGGGGCCCCCGCGGCACGGTGCGCTCCTCTCTTCTGGTCTCTCAGCCGGGGGAGGCCCAGGCTCGGCGCCCGGGGCGGCCCAGTGTTCTGGCTTCCCTGCGCTCACGGGGTCTGGTTGCGCCAGTGCTGCTCCTCCTGTGGATCCCTCCTTTGTGCAGCCTCTCTTGTGGCAGCGCGGTGGCGAGGACTGCCCAGCGGTGCCGCCTCTCCTGCGGTGCAGCCTCTCCTTCGTAAGGCACGGATGCCATGCCGCTGAGATCCTGAGGGTGTTGAAGTCGTGCGATGTGTTTTATTGTGCTGTTGAAAAAAAGATAAGAACGCTGACGAGGACTGCCAAGCGCCCGTGCGAGGGGCCTGGGACGGGACAGGGGACATCTTTCGGACGGGGCTAGGACAAGGATAAATCCGTTCCAGGGCGTCAGAGGTGGGAACTTATAC